CGCACCACCGGAGGAGGGGGAAGGAGACTGCGAATCCTCCACATCCGACCCCAGGGCCCAAAAACGAGAACCAAGCACCGGCAGCGGAGAGGAGGGAGGGGAGAAACCCACTTGCGGAGAGCCAGGGGGGAGACGGGGAGAGCCGCTGCACACGGAGAGGATGGCGACCGGGCACCGGCCACCGGGGAAGAGCGGGGGGCAGACCTACCGAGGCAAGGAAGAGGGGAGGAAGGGAGGGGAGAGAGGGAGGAGAGAGAGGGAGGAGAGAGGAGCCATCTCCCTCTTGCATGGGCTTCTTCGTCCACACTTCTCTCTCGCGCGGCGCCAAAACACCAGTCCGCCATGTCTCCCTTGCTTCTCCTTCTCCTGGCTCTAGCCATCCCCCTAGCGCTAGCCACGCCGGGGTCGGCGTCGGGGATCCAGGAGGACGACGTACGGTGCCTACGCGGCGTCAAGAGCGGTCTCAAGGACCCCGACGGCCGCCTCTCGTCGTGGACCTTCGGCAACACCTCGTCGGGCGCCGTCTGCGACTTCCCCGGAATCACCTGCTGGAACCCGCAGGAGTCGCGCGTCCTCGGGCTCTCGCTCGCCGGCTTCGGCGTCCAGGGCACCGTCCCCTCCGCGCTCAAATACTGCCGGTCCACCAACATTCTCGACCTCTCGAAGAACGCGCTCGAGGGGCCGATCCCGCCCGCGCTCTGCGACTGGCTCCCCTACCTCGTCGTCCTCGACCTCTCCGGCAACCGCTTCTCCGGGCCGCTCCCCTCCGAGCTCGCCAACTGCCGCTACCTCAACTCCCTCAAGCTCAGCCACAACAACTTCTCCGGCCAGATCCCCGCGTCTCTCTCGCGGCTGGAACGGCTCAAGACGCTCGACCTCTCTGAGAACCGGCTCGACGGCCAGATCCCGCCCCAGCTCGGCGCGACATTCCCCAAGGAGTCCTTCTCCGGGAACCCGGGCCTGTGTGGACGCCCTGTGTCCTCGTACTGCGGCCGCGATTAGCAGTTGGACAAGCAAATTTAAACATAGACATGAGTTAGCATATGTTGTACAATCACCGATAAATGTGCTAAGTCGTTGGATCAGACTCCTATGTAATACATCACGCGAGAAGTAAGGTGGTTCGAGGGACGAGCAACTGAGGAAGCTAGCTTTTTCGAAAGAAAAAAAAGCTTCACTCTGATATCCTAAAACAATAAAAAATCGCATAATTTCGTCTTGATGTCCCATGTAGTGACTGATGTGTGCGTTTTGCATATATAGTTTTGTATGTTAATTATGCTTGTTTTATTAAACCTGCATTTTCATACATTTGTTTTTAAATATAATAATTTATCTCTTACTTAAAAAAAATACACGAGTTCCAAGTCTTACCTTACTTTTCTCATCCCCTCATCCCATTATCTGATAAATGTGTTTTCAACTCAAAATAAAGCATTAAGAGAATAGAAAAGACCATGATCATACACCCAACATATGTATAGTTATGATGCACACAACCAACATCAACACACACATTCTCGCAAAAAAAAACATCAACACACACATAAAAGACTGTCGACAAATCGCGAAACCATAGAAGATCAACACTATGCCTAGGGGGATGAAAAACTAAAAGAAAAAGGGAAAAGAGCAACATTGATCCTCGTCGAGGAGTTGCCGCCACAAAAATGACGTGAGCGTATATGGTCTAGATGTGAGATCCACGCGAGCTGTAAACCATACACACACCAATAAAATAACCTTGTGCTAAGAAAACCAAACAAATAACTTATCACGGAGCCATTGATCACATGACGAGAGAAAACACCACCGCCGAAATCCCACTTTGAAGACAATCCGACAGTCACCCGCTTTCATCACCAATGTCTCTAAATGGTAAATTTGGGCACCTGAGACAATACACCACGAGTTGTCACGGTCCCGCCAAGGTCGTGGATATGACCTGTGAATTACCACGCACCATCTTTGTAACTTGATGTCTCAACGGAAAATCGGCACCACCTGTCACCACGCTTCGCCATGATGCCCCAACCACCCAAGACAGGGCACTGGTGAGCAAGGAATCGGCCGCCGCAGCACGAACCTGCCATCATCCACTGGTCCACCTAGACAATGTAGCTCTAGGAGAAAAAAATGACACCATTGACGCCATCGTCAGATCTGAGATCACTTTTACATAGGGTTTCCCTCGAAGTAGCGGACGGCTCGGCGAGAACGGCATTGACGAAACTTCGACAAGGTAACGACGCCCAAAGGCGTCGACTTCGTTGGCCCGGGGAAATAGTCGTCGTTAGGTGGTCGACGAACCTGGTTATAATTTTTATTATCTTTGATGTTCTTTATACTACCATGATTGAGAATGAATAGATTGGAAGTTTATTGGGGGAAAATGACTGTCTACAGTGCGAGTATCATATAAAATATCATGCATATGCCAAGTAAGCAGTTTAGATGGGGTGTCAGACAATTAAATGAAGAAAAATAGGATATGATATTATAATATCATATTAAATGATGTGCTACTACGTGTCACACAGGACAATAAATGAAGTCATGTATAATACTACCAATCTTATTACATTATGCACTATGAAGATAACATCATACTATCATATGCATGATACTAATTAATATACTCCCTCCGTTCCTAAATACTTGTCTTTCTAGGCATTTTAACAAGTGACTACATACAGAATAAAATGAGTGAATCTACACTCTAAAATATGTCGACATACATCCGTATGTGTTAATCATTTGAAATGTCTAGAAAGACAAATATTTAGGAACGGAGAGAGTATGATACTTCTTACTGCTAGTATCAAATGTTTGGAAGAATTGGCTTGTCAATTTCATGGTCAAGAAATCTTCACTCCGGCTTGACCAATTATTTGGCAAGAATATATGAAATTAATTGGATTTCCTAGCAACTTTGTTTGACTCTCTCTTCAATATCTTGCAAAAAAAGGGAATGGTTAAAGTGTTAGACAGATGACTAATGAGCTGCACATGCGGCGAGACCTTTGACTGGATCGACGGTCGTCGGTCTCCTGGCGTTTTGGGCCTGCTGACAAGAACAGCCTCCCCAATCACACGGGAGAGAAACAAAAATCGCACGTCGAAACTCATTATTTCCACGTGTGGTGTTGCCGCTGCTTCCAAGTCGACGGTGAATCGGTGACATCTGGTCGCCCCCGACGCATATTCATGCTCATGCTCTTGTCCCATGCATTACACCTTGGGTGTGTTCGGTTTTCTGAATTTTAGACCCTAGACTATAGGGAAGTGAAGAAGCTTCTCTGGACTCCGGTAGATGGTCTAGTCACTCTGTCCCTCTCTAGCAAAAGAACACTTGTGGAAGAATCTTGGGTCCGAAAGAAAATTCTTTTGGAGCAGTAGCGTTTTAGGTTCTAATCTTTGTTTGATGGTCTAAATTTCCACGTAGAAGGTTCGTCGAAAAGGATTCGCCGTGGACTCGCACGGTCCAGTTTGGTTTGCTTTTACAAGTAGCGCGTGACACTGTAGCTACGTACCTAACGCATTGGCTCGGCCTGAAGAGTGCCCTTCTCCTGATTCTCACCCCCATCGGTTCACATGTGTGCTTTCGTGGAAAATCTCCAGACATGTGTTCCGGACAAGGAATGTTTGAAGTGTTGCTCCATGGAGCCATCTTAATTTTTTAGTCGAGGATTCATGGTGGTCGGCGTCCAAAGTACCCAAGAAACTGATATGTAGAATAAAATGCATTGGCATTGCTGGCTCACTGTGATCCCTGTACTTAAAAATACGGTAGATATAATTATTAAGTAATTTATCATGATTATACAGTCATTGCCTTGCCCAAGCCCCTAGAGCTCTGCATTTATAAAAGAAAATCAGTATGCATATTTGTTACAAGTAAAACGAGAGAAAATCGAGAGAGATGTAAATGAATCCAACCAGTGTCAGTTTCATTGATGGTCAGTGAAGGGATGCGTCGGCTCGATGAAGCAAGAAAACCGTCGTGGCGGTTGCCGGATTGGCAATGCACGTGCAGTTATATAAGACATGATTATCTCTTTAATTACAACATTAATTAAATCCTAACACTCTCTCTAATCCTTGCTTGTCCATGTGACTGATCATCTTTGAAATAATCTCTTCTAAAATACCGTGAGAAAAGTATGAGGAGATATGTGTAATATGCCGTAAAAAACTCCGTCCAAAAACCCAGTGAAAGAATAAAAAGAAAATGACATATCATAATGCTTGTATTACCATTCCTTCGTTAAAAAAATTCTATGAGAAACCATTCATGAAAAACTCCTAAATAAGAAGAGTACAATATCTAAGAACCAAATATCTTGAACAGGTTGTCATATGGGGGTACACTTTCCCCGAATCATGCAAATCATAAAGTCATCTCATATCAATTTCAGTAACATAGATAATAGTGGGTAGTTCCAAATTTCCAATGAACCAACTCATCTTAAACTTTCAATAAAATTCATCATTCTGAGAAGTCACATACATCTATGTGATACTTCATACAAATCAATGATTTTAGATGACTAGTGGATGCCGCCACTAAAGTATCGCTGACCACGGCGGAGACGCACGTGATGCGCCTACTCAGCAAGAATGCGAAGGTCTGGCTCGACATCGAGTACTAAGAGCGCGAAGCGGCGAAGAAGGTGGCCAGCGACGCGAAAGCGGACTGGCTCACGAAGCAGCATAACCGCGTCGCCTGGCGCCTCGCAGGCTTCATACCGTCCTCTCCCAACTATAGCGGCACGATGAGCACGAACGACGGCGATGCCTCTCTGACCATGGACGCCTACGTGGAGGAAAACTATCGCCGCACTTGTGACTGCAAGGGCAAGGGCCGGATGCGGAAACGGTGAAGTCCGACGCCCCTCCGTTTATTTTAGTATCTATCTAGTTTAGCTATCTAGTATCCGGTAATGAACTTCTAGTGGTTCGGTTGTACAGGTCCGGTGATGAACTTTTGTTGCTCTGTCCGTGAATTTTATCTATGTTTGCTTCTTTCTATTGTTGCTATGCTGATGATCTATGTAATTTTTCTCACTTTGCATGGATTTGGAGGGCCGAATATGATGAGGATGGTTGCGAACACTAAAATATGAGGGATGACCAAGAATGTCCACGACTGCGTCCTGTAGGATCGAAAGTATGTCTAGAGGGGGGGGGGGCTTGATTAGAAACCTAAAACCTAACATTTTCTCAATTTTAGCTGTAGGCAGATTTTAGCAATTATGATAAGTCAAGCAACACCCTACACATGCAATTATAAGAGTATAGTAGCGAAAAGTAAGACATTGCACATGTAAGTAAAGGAAGGGTTTGACGAAGGCAAATGTAATGGGGATACGAAGATTTTTGGCATGGTTCCCATAGGTGGTGCTATCGTACATCCACGTTGATGAAGACTTGAATCCACGAAGGGTAACGGCTGCGCGAGTCCATGGAGGGCTCCACCCACGAAGGGTCCACGAAGAAGCAACCTTGTCTATCCCATCATGGCCATTGCCCACGAAGGACTTGCCTCACTCGGGTAGATCTTCACGAAGTAGGCAATCTCCTTGCCCTTGCAAACCTCGGTGGGACTAAAATAATTGCAACTGGTTACAGATGGTTTGGCAAGCCATCTTGGTGTGACCGGTTGGAAAACTCGGTGGGACCGAAATAATTGCAACAAGTTACAAAGAGTTGGGCAGGCCATCCCGGTGTGACCGAGAACCATAGCAATCACTCCGATTTGTTAGGGTTTGGTTGTGGCAGTGTCCAGATGAACTCGGTGGGTCTAGATAGAGAAATTTTGGTGGGGTCGAGTTGGAATGTAGGGTTTTGGACAGATTTGGATAGAAAAAGTGGTTCAGGGTTTTGGAGCAATATCAATAAGCACTTGAGCAAAAAGATCATGATCAAAACCTCATCCCCATTTAATAGTATTGGCTTTCCTATGGACTCAATGTGATGTTGGATCACTTAATCAAAAATGT